GAAAGAGTGGAAATTAAGTAATTCAGTTTGAGTGCACGCCATTACGCACGCACGTGATGCATGCAGATAGATGCGGGGACAGAGACGCACAAATATACTCTCTTTGGTTGTGTGTCTGTCTGCATGGCTGTCTGTCGGTTGGTCTGTCTGTCTGTCAGTTGGTCTGTCTGTCTGTCAGTTGGTCTGTCTGTCTGTCGGTTGGTCTGTCTGTATGTCTGTCTGTCGGTTGGTCTGTCTGTCTGTATGTTTGTCGGTTGGTCTGTCTGTCTGTCTGTCGGTTGGTCTGTCTGTCTGTCGGTTGGTCTGTCTGTATGTCTGTCGGTTGGTCTGTCTGTCTGTCGGTTGGTCTGTCTGTCTGTCGGTTGGTCTGTCTGTATGTCTGACTGTCGGTTGGTCTGTCTGTATGTCTGTCTGTCGGTTGGTCTGTCTGTATGTCTGTCTGTCGGTTGGTCTGTCTATTTGTCTGTCGGTTGGTCTGTCTGTATGTCTGACTGTCGGTTGGTCTGTCTGTATGTCTGTCTGTCGGTTGGTCTGTCTGTATGTCTGTCTGTCGGTTGGTCTGTCTGTTTGTCTGTCGGTTGGTCTGTCTGTCTGTCTGGCGGTTGGTTATGTCTGTTTATCTCTTTTTCTCTGTCTCTTCCTCCCTCTCATTCAGTAATGATTTTACTATTGGCAATGATAATAGTTTAACAACAATAATAATAATAATAAAGCATTGTAATAACAATAATAATGATACAAAATACTTAAAACTTGAATATTAACAACAATAAAAAAAACAAATTACAAACAGCAATAAAAAAAAAACCCACAGCAAATGAAAAAAACAACAGCAATAAGAAATCACAACGAACAACAAATGAATAACAACAAAAACAAAAATTAAGTAAACATTAACATGGCACTTACCCCCCCGCCGGACATTGTAATCTCGTGTTCCCAGACGTTGTGGTCGAGGAAGTCGAAGTCATCGTCAAAGATCAAACACGGGAATTCATTGCAGTCTTTCGGATCCAAGATGGCTGCCAAGGGAGCGTTATTGTAAATTTTGAGTAAGTTTTTATTATTATTATTATTATTATTATTAAATTAGATTAGATTATTTGAGAGGAAGGGAAGTGAAAGGGAAGGGGAAAGGCAGGAAGATCAAATACGGGAATTCATTGCAGTCTTTCGGATCCAAGATGGCTGCCAAGGGAGCGTTATTGTATTTTTTATTTTTTATTTTTTATTTTTTTTAGATTAGATTAGATTAGATTAGATTATTTGGGAGGAAGAGAAAGAAAGGGAGGGGAAAAGGAAGGAACTTATTGCAGTCTTTCGGGTCCAAGATGGCTGCCAAGGGAGCGTTGATATAAATTTCGAATATTTTATTACTATTAACATTATTATTATTATTAGATTACATTATTTGGGGAAAAGGAGAGAGGGAGGAAGGGGAGGAAAGGGAGGGCAAGAGAAGGGGAAAGAAAGGAAGATAAGCTACGGGAACTTATAGCAGTCCATGGGGGAAATGACGATGATGATGAGGAAAGTGATGGTGATGGTGATGGTGATGGTGATAGTGATAGTGATGGAGACGGTAGAAGTTCGTGAGTGAGGTGATGGTGACTGATAAAAAAAGGAAAAAAATGTATCTTTAATCTTAATAATAGGAACTAATTATATAAAAAAAATCCACTATGAGGATAACAAGAGTGGTGCTTTTACAACGAAATAAAGCCAACAGCCATAACAGTAACGATTACCTCACTAGCCTTACAAACCACATAAAAAGATATAAAAAAATAAAAATCACGGAGACTAAGAATAAGAAGAAACAAACAAACCAACAAACAATTTAAGAACTAAGAATAAATACAAAAAAACAATAGAAAAATACTAAAAATATATCCTTAACAAGAAAATTACCAATAAACAAAGACCCGAGTTAACCAAATCACTATTTAACATCCCGACCACCTGTTTAATACCTTCACATCCGCCAATTAAAAGCTGAGCCAATGCTTAATATCACTCCCATCCTTAATTCCCTTTTATCTTACATCGATATTACCACAACAGCTGGGTTTTTTTTTTTGTTTGTTTGTTTTTCTTAAGCAAAGGAAACTTACTTGCAGCCAACGACCAGCCAGCTAGGACGGGCAGCCATAGCGCTCTCATTCTGGATGGGAGAAACGAGAGATAATGAAAAAAAAAACGATATTTTTATTATTTCTTTATTTATTTATTCTTTTGTTAAGGTTATTTATGCGTTATGGTATCTGTTATGGTATTTGGTTTGATGTTTTTTTTATTATTAGGATTGTTGTCTTTATGATAATAATGACGGTGTTTCACAATTACTATTCAATTTTTTATCATTAATTGTTAATTTAATTGTTATCACATATTGAAGTTATTAGTATCATTAATATTAATATCATTACTATTACTGTCTTCATTATGGTTATTTTTGCTATTATTAGCATCATCATTATTATTATTGTTATTATTATTA